AAAAAAAAAAAAAAAAAAAAGACTTAACAGGGTCACTTCCTCAGCTTGGGAGGGAACTGGTGAAACTTCTAGTGACTGGCAGAGCTTGGGAATTTTCTGTGCTTTAGAAATAAGGCATCACAGGAGAGAAATGTCCCCCAGTGGAGTTGTCTAGGAGAGAGAAAGTGACTGGGAGAGGAGGAATAAAGATGATATAGACAGTGCTGCTGACACCAATAAGACTGGCTCTGCCACAAAGCAATAACTTACTACCGTACCTTGGTGGGTGTGTTGCAGCTGGGGGGACTGAGGCGCTAGACAGAGGTCCCCCTTCCAAAAACATTTATGTGAGTTATAAACCTCACTAAAACATGAAGCAAATAAAAATCAGTCCTCATTCCATCACCCAGGAATAACCAACCACTGTCAATTTTCTGGGGTCTACATGGGTGTTTTTGTTCCCTCAAATAAAAATCACTTCCGACTAACACCGCGAGCATTTCTTTTGAAGCCATTATTAGGAAACATCAGTGATGACAAGCCCAATCATTAAAACAAACTGCCATGCTGTCCCCAAGATATAAACATGGCCCCGAGTCTGTGTCCCTGCAACAGCCAGCAAAATGAACTTGGCTCCTGACTCGAAGGAGAGGAAAATGAAAAGTGTGTTATTCATCCGGCCTCTGTGTCTGTGGATCTTTATAAATAATCTCAAACACTCATCAAGATCTACATGAGTCAAACACCCACTTTTGGCCTATCTGGCAGCCAACGCAGAAAGAGAACTAGTCATCTAACTCGCCAGCGACAGCTCTTCTCCTAGAATGGAAGGTGGGGACCAAAGGCCCTTGTCACTCCAGATGCTCTGGTCTACACTGTGTGTAGAACAGAACAGAGATCCAGAGTGAGCTGTGATCTTGGATCCAAAGAAGATCATGGCATTGACCTTCTGGCAAGAAGTTCCATCTACCAAGGAGAGGCAAACATGTTTAAATGATCACAACTCAAGAGTGATAACTACCATAACAAAAGGAGACAGGATACGATGAGTTCCTGCAAAGGGGGAATAAATGCAATTCTGGGGCTGGGTTATATCTCCAGCAGCAAAAAAGAAAAAAAATTAAATAGAAATGAAATTAATGCACGATTTATATTATGCTTCACAGAATCATCCCATACTTTAGCTGGGAGGAGACAGGGTAATAATAGCGACTTTCTATTTTCAACTGGAGAGACATTTAAATGAGAATCTAGAATCCCTTCTGGTTTAAATTTTTAACTTTCTCACATGCAAAGCACTATACCGTTGAGACTATCAACTACTCAGGAAAAGAGATTACTAGGAACTCAATTGCTTTTTAGTTTAATTCCATGCAAACACAGAGAGCTTGTTTCCTAAGGTCCAGGAATCTTCAAGACTTATGGCCCTTGAGTTTGCCTGATGCTATAGGAAGAGCGCTGTCAGAGGCACTGTGCTTGCGTAGAAAACATGATGCTTCACGCACTATCGCTTTCCAGTCCCTGGAGCAGGTGCCTAAGCTTACCCCAGACGCACATGGGCAGTGGCCAGGGGAACAGCTTGGAAGGAGGACTGAGCAGTGTCTCCCTTCTAGGGCATCACCAGTAGGGACCCATCGGATGCCCTCTGCCCCTCATGACCATGTCCCTCTGAATCATATAAACTGCCTGCACAACTGCACAGTTTTTTCATCTAAACTGGGGATTCTTTCCTGCTTGAAGGATGTGGACAATCTTCATGGGGCGAAAACCCCTAAGATTGCCTGTAAGATACTATATTGCTACTGTCTAAATCAGTGATGGTGAACCTTTTAGAGCTCTCAATGATACAAACAGCCTGCCACGGTACATGTGCTATAGGTTCGCCACCACTGGTCTAAATGTGTCCTCCTCAGATTCAAATGATGAAACCTATGCCCCACTGTGATGGTACTGGGAGGTGGCACCATGGGGAGTTCACTGATTCTGAGCATGGAGTCCTCAAGAATGGGATTAGTGCCTTTATAAAGAGGTCCCAGGGAGCTCTCACACCCTTTTTTCACCACAAGGGGACACACTGAGAAGAGAGCCATCTGCATCCTAGAAGAGGGTCCTCACCTTGATCTCAGACTTCCGGGTTCCAGAATGTGAGAAGTAAATTTCTATGGCTTATACATCACCCAGTCTACAGTACTGTTACATTAGCCTGAAAGAACTAAGATGAATGTACAGCACTGTCTTGTAGCTAGCTTTTCTGAGTCTGGAGGAAGGCTGTGAAACAGTGACGGAACTCACTGTCCTTGCCTACCTGTTATCACATAATTCACCCCAGTGCCCTTGGTTTGCATGAGTGCCGTGTCTGTGTCCTCACACTCCAGGAGGAACCTCCAGGAGGAGCCAGAAGACTCATTATCAAGCTTTCTTTTTTCCTTCCACATTGAAAGAAAAATTAAACAAAATGTCATCCATGGGACATAGAAAAAATTGAATCAGCATGGTAAAAAAGAAAAATCTTCAAAAACCAATTACCCATTTAGTCATTGTGAAAAGTCTATGTTCAAATCCACAGTCTCAGGGAATGTCAAAGTTCTAGTTAAATTTTTAATAAACTATAAAGGGTAATGTTAAAGAAGAGACCTTTTCAAAGACAGGCTAGCTACAGACAGGCTCTTAAAGCAGTTGTCATCAAAGGACATGATACTGCTAAGGAGACTACTGGTGAGTTACTATCTCTTTAGAGGAAGTACAAACTGAAGACTCAAGGAAGAAGCCACAGCAGGGTGTTCAGAGGCCCACTCCTCCGAATTTAGACCCCTGATGATTTCATTAGTGCCATGGGTTTAAATAATACTCACGTGCCAATGATTCACAAATGTATATAGCTCTAGCCAGACTTTGCTCCTCACCTCCAAACTTGTGTACCCAGATGTCTCGTCAGTATCTCCACCAAGCCCCACGATCCAAAATGAAATCTTAATATTCTCCTAAAACCTGCCCCAGCTCAGCTGATGGCAACCCCACCCTCGCAGCAGCTGCCTCTGAGACATCTGGGTCCCTCCTGGTTCATCTCTTGCTCTCATACCTCCCATCCAGCCTATGGGTAGATCCCATTGGCCCCACCTTTGATGGAGACCCAGATGGGCCCCCTTCTCACCGCCATGGCCACTTCCATCCCAGCCTGAGCCATCAGTATTTTATGGGCTGGAAGGGTCTGCCTAGCCTTCGTCTCCCAATAGGTTTTTTAAGACTTTAGCAGTGGACATGGCCAGACCCTCCCACCAAGGCAAAGCAACTTTGGAAGTGAGAAACAGACCATGACAAAAAATTTGGGAAAATAACCTACACATGACCACATGGTAGAAATTATGACTGGGATTAAAACAACAGAAGAGCATGCTTCTCATCCAGAGGAACAGCTGAGCTTAAAAAGTGGGTGGAGACACCATGTTTTCAGCAGATTTAATATACACTGGGATATATATATATAATGTGAATTAGAATTTTCAGCCTGTAAAGACAGCAAAAAGTATCTCTGCTGTGCCAGTTAGGTTTCCATTGCTGGGACAATATGCCCAGTATACTTAAAGGAAGAAGGATTTCTTGGGGCTCACAGTTCCAGAGCTTTCAGTCCATGGTCAGCTGGCTTCAAGGTAGAAGGAAACATCATGGAAGAAAGGCATGACAGAGGAAAGTTGCTTACCTCATAGCAGCCAGAAGCAGAGAGAGAAGAGAGAGAGAAGTGGCTGGGACTGGACACATCCTTTTAGGTCACGCCCTCAGTGACCCACCTGCTCCAACCAGGGCCCACTTCCAAGCAGCACATCAGCTATGAACTAATCAATGGACTAGCCCATTGATGAGGGCAGCACCACCATGAGCCAATCACCTTGTGAATCAATCATCTCTCAACACATGAGCCTTTGGGGAACATTTTAGTTGCTGTAATAACAAGCAAAGATACATCAAGTTTCAGAGGCATAAACTTAGCTTGGCCTTGCCCTGTGCCTTCATAATAGGAAGGCCAGAAGCAGATGGAATAACATCCAGATGAGCTTTGAAGACAAAAATGTGGTGGCGTGAAAGCTTCGTCTTACTGTGTATTCCTCCTATAACAGACTGACAGATGAGCACCATGAACTCAGCAGGAATTCAGAAAATAAAGCACTTGGGGACATTCCCTGGGGGAGGTACCTGCTCCTACTTAGGTCCTAGAACAACCAAAGGTGGATCAGAGTGTTCCAGAACTGGAGACTGAAGACGTCCAGGCTGGAAAGGCAGGGAGTGGTGCTTTCCATGCCAATAATGGCTTGTGTGTGTCAATGCTCATAAGGTCAAGGGCTGCACCAAAATCTGTAGGAACATTTAGCCTCTTGTTCCCTTTAGCTGATGAGAAAACTAAGGCTCAGGAAGTTCAAGCAATTTTCTAAGATAAACTCATTAGAGAGGGACAGAGCTGGAATTCCACGATAGAGCCCGAGCAGCTCAGGTCCCTCCATCTGCTTATTTTTAGAATACTTTTATTATTTATTACTTTTATATTTACCTGTATTTTCTAATTGCTCTGAAAGCATGTGGTTTTTGAAGTAAACATCAGTAAGTCTGTCCCCCCATTTAAAATCAATCCAAAGACATAAAACACATTAAATTCACAAAGCTAAACAGGAAAAGACTGGTGAGGACATTTCAGAAAGATGCCCCCATAAAGAAGGTGGGTAAGTCAATATTTTTGAAAAGCTTTAGGCAGAACCACAAACATATTTATAAAAGCACCCTCCACCAGTGTGATCACATAAAGGTTACAAAATTATGTTCCAATAACTTGCTACAAAATATGTAAAGACAGGAACTCCTAGGTAGGAAGCACAGAAGCTGTTTAAAGTGACAAGAATGGGATGTTGTGACCCACAACGAGTTACTTAAAACATAAATTCAAGAAAGGGCAGTACTTGTACCTCCATAGTCACCCCTACCCCTTCTCCTGCCAGGCTCCTGCACTGGCAGGTGGCCGAGTTCTCACCTGGGATGTTGTGTATGGTGATGGCCAGGATAAGCAGCATGATTCTCCTCCAGCTGCTGCCGCTGGGCTGTGCCAGGTGCCCTCGAGAAGGTGCCAGGGGAGCAGGGCCCTCTAGGGGGCCGCCAGCCACCGCCTTCCTCCTCTGGTATGCCTCGCCGTTCTCACTCTTGTCTGAGCAGAAAGAGAGGGAGAGGCAGAAAGAGGTTTGAAAAGGCTCACAGCAACATGTGGGCAAGCAGCAGCAAGAGGAAGCTTTCAAGACCTGGAACCCTCTACTTCTAACCTGACCGAACATTCATTCACCAACACTGGTTGAGTAGACATTCAGTGCCCAATGTCCAGGTGCAGTACGAGAAAGGATAAAAAGATGAAAATGCAGCGTCCTAGCCATGCGTGGTGGTGCACACCTATAATCCTAGTACTCTAGGAGGCTGAGGCAGAACAATCATAGGTTTGAGATCAGCCTGGACAACTTAGTAACTTAATAAGACAGCCTCAAAAAAAAAAAAAATTAACAAAGGGTTGCTGGTGATTTAGCTCAGTGGTTCCACCGCTTGCCTTGTAAGCGCAAAGTCTTGAGTTCAATCCCCGGCACTCCAAAAAAACCCAAACAAACAAACAAAAAACAAAGGGTTGGGGATATAGCTCAGTGCAAAGGCTCTGGACCCAATCCCCAGTCCTGGAAAAAAAGCAAAGCAAAGCAAAGCAACACCTATCCTGGGTACTGATGAGGAGGACAGGTACCAGACCTAGACTGGCTGACTTAAGCTTCCTGACTTGGCCATTCATCAGCTATGCGGTGGCCAACAAGTTGTTCTCTCTGATGCAGTTTCCTGATTCATGAGAATGGAACAACGACACGACCTATTTACAGAAGTCTGTAAGGATTCAATGAGGATGAAGCATATGAAAGTGCTTGGACTATACTGAGTGCAGGACATATTGATTGCTACTGTCTATGTTGTGCTCCTTTCCTTCCACAGCCCTACAGAATTTCCTAATATGTGTCCCTTGCTCCTTGCCTCAGGAGGACCCACTCAGATGTCAGACTCAGCCAATCAGATTCACAGACACATCACTCCTGCGTGGGTGTAGAATCTCAAAAGTCATGTGATAGGACAGGGCTCCACCAGCATGCATGGAGCGAGGGAGGCAGCTTTACAGATTAGACAGGAGGAAGCAGATGTCTGTGAACAGGTACCAACACGAAGCCATGCAGCCAGAGAGGACAGACATGGCCCTGAAATCCAGGGAACAAGGGCAAAGGACAGCATCAGACTTTGGTTCACGACAGATGGAGGAAGCTTGGTGAGGAAGTGGGTTTGGAGTAAATCTCAAACATGTGAAGGCACCATCAGGAAGCGGGATCTCTCCTGTGAGCCTGGTGGGCATGACTTGGATGTCACCTTTCAAGTGCTCCACACTGAGCCAACCCCCAGCCCTCCCAGTGGAGTTATCCAGTAACTCCGTTCACTCTGAAAAGCGTCCAGGATCCATGCTGTGCCCTCAACTGCAGGCAGGAGCTTCCTGCTTAGGTCGGCACGATAGTCCTTGCCCAGGACCACTGCTGACAGGGCCTCTCGTTACTCCTCCTTCCCTTCTCCAGTCACAGAATCCCCACAGGCAGAAGATGCTCCCTGAGATGAAGGCTAGAGGAAAAATTCCTCAAATCCAAATTAAGAATCAAAGGGCCACTGGTGATCTGAGAGGCGCAAATGAAGACAACGCTGAGATTCCACCTCACTCCAGAAAGAATGCTGCTGTGAAGAAATTAACCAATAACAGATGCTGGTGGGGCTGTGGGGAGAAAGGAACCCTTCCTTCTCCGCTGTTGCTGGAAGTGTAGACTTGTACAATAACTGTGGAAATCAGTGTGAAGATTCCTCAAACAAAAACTAAGATTAGAGGTCCCATTTGACCCAGCTGGTCCTCTGCTGGCTATCTTCCCAAAAGAATTCTTCCCAAAAAGAATCAGAGCACAGCAATATATGTACACCCATGTTACAGCTGCACAGTTTTTAATAGCTAAATACTTCAAACAGCCCAAATGGCAACTAACTGGAGAATGGATAAAGAAGATGTGGGACTTTTTCAAATAAAATGGAGTACCACTCAGCCATAAACAATGATAAACCAGAGACATTTATACCTAAATGGATGCACACTGAGGCCATACTCTTAAGTGAAATAAATAGGACACGTGGTAAATACTGCATTGTTTTGCTGGTGTAGGAAACTGAAAGTGTAAATGCGGACATCAAAATGTATAATATATAATGTGAAACAGGAAGAAAGGGCCCAAGGGGGAAGGGGAAAGGAAAGGGAAAGAAAAAAATATAGGAGGAAAGGAGGAAAATATGGAAACAAACTTTGTAAATAGGAAAGGGGTTGAGGGGAGGGAAAGGGAAAGGGGGAAAAAATAACCAAGATACACCATGTACAGGTACAAACTCCCCATGATGAAAGTCATCATAATGTATACCTAAGCTGTACCAATAAAATTAAAGAATAAATTAAACCGAAGCATTAAAGAATCAAGGGGCGACTCTGGCCGGCCCCTCCTTCCTTCTACTGTTGCACAAGGCAGGGGCTCTTTCTTACCCCTGTGGGTGCCGTACCGGAAGACTGTGTCCCACCCCATAACCTGGTGGTATCTGCGGCTCCCTTTCAGGTGAACCACCCAGGTGAGCTGCTTAGACACGAAAAGAAAAACAACCCTCTTGGGAAGATCATTTTTATTTGCTTACACAAATCTAGCAGATACAGCTTGAGGAGTAGAAAGTGGCAAAGGGCAAATGGATTCACTCGTCCCTGGCTCATGATTGGCTCTCTTACCAATGGCTGGACCTCAGGGCCATGACGGAAGAGGGCCTTGCTGGGGTGTGGCTCTGCGGTCATGCATGTGCTTAGCATGTGCAAGGCCCTGGGTTCGGTCCCAGGAAGGAAGACAGGAAGTGGGGGTGGACCTCTAACTGATCCACAGCGGGGCTGCCGGCTGTCCGAGCTCAGTGCCCTGGCTGACATCTCCCTGCAGTCATCTCAGATAGGCAGCAGCTCCCCCGCCCCACAGTGCTCGCCGAGAGGGCAGCTCAGTCCCCCGTGTGGCATCCACACTGAATGTGGGTGTGTGTTTCTGTGGGTGCCCAGATGTGCCCATGTGGACACATGAAGCTGCCACTGGGCACCATCCAACCTGACTCAGAAAGCAAGCAGCTTCCTCCCATGCAGGCTCTCATGTGCGTTTCTATGCACACAAGATTGGAAGTGGTTTTGCAATATACGTGTGTGTGAGAGGCAGGACTGGAGTCTGAACCCAGGGCCTTCCCACTGAGCTACATTCCTGGCCTTTTACTTTCTCCCCCACCACCCAAACACTTATTTAGAAACTTTTTTTGAGAGGGGGAGACAGGGTCTAAGTTGCTGAGGCTGGGCTCGAATTTGTGGCCCTCCCCCTTCATCCTCGCAAAGTACCGTGATTACGAGCCTGCGCCACCACACCTGGCTGATTTTGTACATTTTAAGTTAATGGTACCTGGACAACTCAGGCTGCAGAGGCAGGCCAGGAAACCGCCTCAACACTTGAGATTTCAAGCCCTAAGTACTAGGGACGTGAGCAGGGCAGTTCCAAATGTACTCCATGGACCAAGCAGGGCTGGGGCCTGCTCAGCTTTGTTCTGGGCCGGTACTAAGCACTGCAGATTCCTTGGGCTCACCCTAAGCCCTCAGTCCTGGCTCAACAGCTCTCCCGCGGGAGTCGAAAAGAACAAAAACAAAATCAAAAAATCTGCCTAGTGGATTTTTTAACTCAAGGGAGCACAGACAGGGAAGACAAGCAATTCTTTTGCACCTAAAGCACAGAATGTACATTCTCTACCAAGCACAGAGAGCAGCACTGATCTTCACCAGTGTCATCAAAGCACTGGAAACTGAATCCCGGACAGGTGAGATCCCCAGAGCTGGAAGGAAAAGCATGGGGCAGCTGGAGGAGTGTCAACCAGAGCAGAGAAACAAGCCTGGTCTCGGGGTCCCAGTGAGAGAAAACTGAATGCCAGGGCTGGGTGCAGGGTGGAAGTGAGATAAAGCCACTAATGCGTCCGCAACGCGATAAGGACGATTAGTCCAGGTAAGTCACTGGGAGAGCAAGAGGCATCCAGAGCGGCCGGCGCCCCACACCTCTCCAGGTGAGGTTGGTGAAGACGCTGCAGCTTCAAGGGAGATGTGTGCACACAGGCAGCTGCAAGGGGTGCCAGAGCCAAGTGACAAGGGTCACACAGGAAGTCCTGAAATGGCAAAGCTGTGAGCGCTTTCGAAGTAGACCCCGGCAAAGCGAAGTAGGAAGGGTATTTAGGCATCGTCTATGGCACGGCTAAGATGGAAACATCTGTGAGAGGGGCTGATAGGAGACGCTGGGACCTTCTCCCCAACTCAGCCTTGATCCTTACAAAGTCCCGTGACTAAAGATCAATCACCTGTAACAAATGAGGAAACTGAGGACACACAACCAGGTCACACAGCCAGTCCACAGTGGACCCAGAGGTCAACGTGGATCCTTTCCCTCCAGAAGCCACTGGCTGAGCTGGACTCTGAGGTTGGCGAGGGTGGCACAGAGACAGGGGTTAATCTGCTCATCTGCTCACTAAAAAGGGTAGGTGGGGTAGTAGACCCTGGGGTGGGAAAGCTGCAAGACAGCAGAGGGGGACTCAGCAGGAATCTCCTGCTCACAAACCTGAAAACAATGCATAGAAATGATGTTCTGAGCCCATTCATTCCAGCTATTTCTAACTGCAAAGTGGCTCAAAGTAGGAAACATTTACCAATGTCAAGCCAAGTTATAACTCTTCCAGGAAAGTAGAAAGGAAAGACTTTTTGCGATTAGAAAAAAAAAATGTTGCCCCTGACAATATTTAGAATTGAGCATTAAGAATCCGCAGGCAGAAAGGAGCCACTGGGGGCTCAGCCACCTGACATGGCATTGCCACCTGTTCCAGGGAGGACGAGGACCACAGAGGAGCAGAGGTGTCCCGGCTCACTCTTCCCAATCACCAGGTGACGTCCTCGGGTACAGCTGCTTCCCTCCTCTCCCAAGCAGGGGATGTAATTCTTTCCCCAGCACATCAGCAGACAACTCCCAGCAGTCACAAGCCTGCGGAGGACAGCAAACTCTGCTGCCT